AACTTGAGGAAATTGAGGAAAAATGATACTAAATGGATATAAAAATAAAAAATTAATTAATTAATTAATGGGAAAAAATTTGAAAAAAACGTAAAACGCGGACACACAAAATTGCAGGGGAATGGATTTTCCATGCGCTTGCGTGTGTGCTGACGCGTGGGAATAAATTTATTTTGAATTCCGATAAAAAAAATTAAAAAATTAGAAAAATGATCATCAATAAGGGTGTGAAGAAATAAATAAATTTTCTAATCATTTATTGTGATGGGATGGGTTAAATGCCATAAAAAAACATATTGGAAATTATAATCAAAATAATGAATTATACAGGATTAAAATCTTATATTTGCATATCTTAGGTGTGTGGTGTGTGTTTTTATTATTGTTGTATTTTTAGTTGTTTTGTTAGTGCAGCTTTATCTGCTTTTAGTGCAGCTTTGTCTGCTGTCAGTGCAGCTTGTCTGCTTTTTTAGAGTGTTTTGTTTTGTGGTTGTTTGTCTCTTTAATGGAGTTTGTACCCCTTACGTGTGTTGACAAGGGGGTGGTCCAGTTTTCTGGTTCCAGTGTGTCATTTGACGCTTCGATTGTACTATTGTGAATTTTTAAGTTATTAATATAATTGTCGTTTGAAAAAAAAAAATCAACGTGAAAATTTCGTAACATCGTCATTGACTATATTTGATTGTCTTCCTCTATATGTTTATTAACGTAGTAAAATAAACGATTAAATTTGATATACATTTCTTCTAAAATAAGAACGTAAATACACACGTATGTGAAATTGCGTGCACCAAGTATACGATAAATAGTTTAGTATAAGAGATAAAGTATGTTAGAAATTTAAGCATATGTACTAACTACAAACAACTATAATTCAAATTTAAATTACATGATGCTAACTTAATTAATGACATTATAACTTATAATTTAAGTAGCATAACTATGAGGATGATTTTTTCAAGTAATTTAAATAAAATAAAGGCAACAACTAAACCTTGTTCATAGCATCAACATTTGGATGGTAAATGTAGCTATATTGGTTTGGTCCAATTCATGTTGCACGTGGCTGTGTTGCAGCCCAATTCCACAAAATCAATTTTAGCCATCTCATCAAAACACGGCAAAGGGCAACTAGACCGTTGGTCAATGGGCCTCAATTGCGGGCCACATATTTGTAATTTTCGAACCGTCTGGTTCTGAACCTGAACCAAGACCAGAATCGACAGTTTGTGACAATGTTTTTATCCTTTTTATTTATTTTTTATTATTTTTAAATTGAATCGAACCGACCCGAAAATGAAATTTGGCCACGTCTACAATCTCTTTTCTCCCCCTTAATTTTTTTTCCCCAATCAACATCCAAACACATTGATATGTTAGTTGTATTTGTAAAGACTTTTGGCATAAAACTTGTTGTTAGACTCCAATTGAAGATTTATAGTTAGCTTTATTAATTGATTTGTTTGATAAGTAGAGGTTTAAATTAGTCTTTTCTTTTTTCAAAATGTTGTTAGGAAAAAAAAAAATAGCTTGTTGTTGGATCATTAATCCAACATTGTGCAAATATGTGCAATAATTATTGTATTGTAGTTGTTAAATAAATAATCCCAAATAAAAAGTGATCAATTAAGTTTAAAGTTATTGGACTTTAAAGTACCAATAGAGAGTGGGTGTAGAAACTTATGCCAAATAAAAAGTGATCAATTAAGTTCAAAGTTATTGGACTTTAAAGTATCAATAGAGAGTGGGTGTAGAAACTTATGAGTTTTATCTTATTAAATGATGAGTTAAAATAGAGACGTCTAATGTAACTTAATATATAAAGGTACACGATCCTATAGAACTAGAGGGCCGAATCTCCAAATCAATCACCTATGGATAAGGTACGCTTCCACTATTCAGTATCGATTCTTAATTATTCAATATAAAAACTCTTAGATTAAATGACGTTTTTCGCCTAAAGTCAATCCCAACACGTCTAACAATAACTTTTTTTTAAGGATTTTGTATTTTTACAAACACTAGTTATCATCCTGTGCACATGCACAGATGTACATAAAATATTATAATTAATATGTGTGAATTTAATATTAAAATTATAGATGATAAACATATCACATTTTCAAGATATGTGAATTTAATATTAAAATTCTAGATAAAGGACATACCACATTATTAAGATTTAATCATTAGTAAAAATAAAATTATATTTATATAAATTATTTGAGTACATATGAATCACTATATTGATTAAAAAAAATTGTGGGTAATGTAATTTTTATAATTTGGAGGGATCATGGTCAAATAATTTACTTGAAAACTTTATTATTATTATTATTATTATTATTATAATTATTATTATTTCTATTCTTATTTGATTTTAATTTTTTTTACTATACTATTAAAACTATTTACTAATTGTTTCTAAAGAAAATTGTTTCATGAAATACAAAATTAAAATAATAATAATAATAATAATAATAATAATAATAATAATAATATCATTCATAAAACCTAATTAAGTGTAATCATGTATTTATAAAACTTAATTAATAAAACCTCATTTATTTTCCCTCCAAAAGAAGTTACAAAATTTGTCATTCATGTTTTGTCTTTCACATTAATACACCCTATTAAGTGTAATCATGTATATTTTTGCTATTATATTATATAATAGTTAATGCTATTACCAACTTATAATATTTCACACTAAATATAAATTACATAAGTATAAACAATTTTATTATTTTAAGATTTATTTATTTATTTTTTATTATTATTATTATTATTATTATTATTATTATTATTATTATTATTATAGTAGTTAATGCTATTTTTTTGCTATTATATTATATAATAGTTAATGCTATTAATTTTTTACATGATTACACTTAATATGGATGTATTAATGTGAAAGGCAAAATATAAATGACAAATTTTGTAACTTATTTTGGAGGGAAAATAAATGAGGTTTTATTAATTAGGTTTTATTTATGAGGTTTTATTTAATG